CAGTCCTTATGCCCATTGCAGAGCCCCCCGAGCCCCCATCTTGGCTACGCCGCTGATTTACTTCTGTCTTCCAAAGTTTCAGCTTTTACGACAAGGCTAACAATGCACATTTTAATTGCACCGCGGGGGCTTGAGGTAATCGGATCGCATTACGTTGGCTGAACTGTTGCAACACGGAAGTTGATTATTTGCTCTCTTGGTTTGTGTCAGTGAACTCTAATTTGTGTATGTCTAATTCGTTTTTCTTATGTTTATGCAACTTCCATTTCCAGAATGTCCACCTATTACTTTTTTCGACACAAAATGATAATATCTTCCAGATTTTAGCCGGACCGACTTTTTCGTCCTGGCAGTCAGGTTTTGGGACCGACTTTTTAGATATATTTCACAAAACATGGGGGGGTGTCACACCCCCCCTAATGTGCGCCCCTGGTTAGACCTTTAATCTACAAGATCAAAAAACTCTTTTGCCAACTCCTCAGGCTCAGGTGATCATGACGATGCTTTTTCTTGTTTCATTGCTCGTTTCCTTTCGACCTCTTGCAAGAATTTCCGTCCGGGGACCGGGGGTATCCATTTGACAGTAAAGAATCAGTTATGTGTTTGCGTTCCTGTTGTTTCCTTCATTTGTATTGGGCTGGGTATAATGTTGCTACCTGTGTATAGGAGAGCCAGTTTGTGCAGTGCTAACTTTGTGCTGTTTGTCGTGGTGTGAATTATGATTTGTATAGTCTAAGTATATCTGTCCGTGTGTGTAGGTTTTCTGTAAACTATAATCAGTAAAGATCATTACTGCGTGTGCACAAACTCTCCTATACAGGGCAGCAACATTACTGGAAGGCTAACATTGTTGTTACAGCAACATAACTGGAAGGCTAACATTGTTGTTTCCCTTCATTTGTCACTGACAAATGAAGAGAAACAACGGCGGAACGCAAACACATACTGATGCTCTACTGTTAAATGGATACCCCCGGAAATTCTTGCAAGAGGTCGAAAAGAAAACGAGCAATGAGACAAGAGAAAGCGTCGTCACCCGAGCCTGAGGAGTTGGTAAAAGAATTTTTTTATCTCGTAAAGCCGCAGTCTAGCGACAGTTACGCTGTCTTTCCCGGCTATATTAAAGGCCTAACAGAACCACTCAAATAACTCCTAGTAAAACCCAATGACATCCGAATCGCAACGAAACCTTTATAAACTCTGGAACAGTCATTTCCTTCTGCTAAAGACAGACCATCACCGGAAGATCAGACTATAACGTGGTCTACAAGATCAACTGTGCAGATTGCACATGGCGCTACATTCAATTTGGCAAAACTGGCAGCTAGTGCATTCAACACTAGGCGAAAAGAACACAGGAGAAATGTAGAGCTCTATAAAAATAGCGGGAAAATAATTGACAAAATCAACATCATGGCTATAGAAATCCAATACAGTATGGCGGAAAAGCATGCGTTCAGAGCGCAAATTAAATAAATTAAAAATGGCGTCAATGTATAGAATTGATAAAGGAAAAATTATACTTCTGATTTTTTGTTGCATAACCTTACAAATTCTCGCATGTGCACATCTAAAATGTCAGTATATAACACAAATATTAACTAGAACAAATTTAGCGACAAATTGACAAGGCTAAATGAGTTCCCTAGCTCGATAAATTCTTACCTTTTATTTCCCATACAAGTGTCTATTAAATCCCAACAATTGGCCAAAGTAAGCCTTTATTTTGGCAATAATGAGTTGGTTTGTCTGTGATGTGCACATCTAAATACACTCGAGAATATTTATTCTTTGTTTTGCGAAGCCTTTTGAGACGTATCTTCGTCTTTAATTAGGTTCCCAAACGCCATAAAAAAGCGCGATTTCAGTGCCGTAGAGTCGTTGTCAATCGATCGACCAAGCGCCGACATAAACACTGAACACGACATGAAAATCGAAGCAATACAATGCTTTCTTGTCGCCATTTTAAAACTGTTGTTATGGTTTTCATGGTGTTTACCGCTGCAATGTTTATTTGATCGTGGACATTGAACTATAAATAACTGGAAGGCTAACTCCTCAGCCGTTCCGCACGTTGTAACCAATAATTTATTGGCGTTGTAATGCCATTGTATGCAATAAAGTATTGGTTACAACGGATTTACAATTAATCCAAACGCTAATCCTAACTCAAACCCTAACCCTAACCCTAATCCTAACCCCTAACCCTAACCCCACCTTCTAACCCCTAACCCCTAACCCCACCTGCTAACCCCGCAACCTAACCGCAAACCCTAACCCCGGCCAGCTACCCCTCCGGGGGTAGTAAGTGTATTCGTTTGTGATATCAATACGTTTATCTCCCAAGAACAAGTTGAGTGTTTGTAGTTTAGAGTTATGTTTTTGTAGAATCATAACTTTGGTTTTCTTCAAATTAATATTCATTAACCATTTTATGTTCCATTCATTGATGGAGTCAAACAATTTTGAGGACCAGATTTTGATTTTGATAGTATGACAAGATCATCCGCATATAGTGGACTACTTAGTCTCGTTCCATTTGGTAAAAAAATGGGTCTGGGTTTACTTTTTCAAATAGATTAGGAAGTTCGTTTATATATAGAATAATGAGAAGGGGGCTTAAAACACAACCTTGGCGTACACCTCGATTATAAGAGAAGAAGGGTGTTCTATGCATGACCCGATACTTTCACTGATCCTTTATCAGATCATAGAAGCATCCTCCAATTCCATTTTCTAATAGTTTCAAATAAAGACCTTCGCGCAAGACAGAATCAAAGGCCTTTTTAAAATCAATGCATAATTTTGATTAACATATTTATCATGCAACGTTTTTAAGGTAAGAATATGATCGGCCGTTCTGTCATTTGGTAGGAAAGCAATTTGAGAAGTGTGTAACAATTCTTTAATTTTTGAAAAGTTCATCAGTCTTTCATTGAGGACAGAGCAGAAGAACTTTCCTAACGAGCTTGATACGCATATTCCTCGGTAATTACTTGGGTCTAATTAATTCCCGGATTTAAAAAGTCCTTCACACTTTTATAAAACCATTACCAAGGATATCAACACTATATTTTATCATTTCGTTGTTGATTTTATCTGAGTGTGCAGCTTTTTTAGATTTTATTTTTTTAGCTGTTTTTATTATTTCTTCAATTGTTATTTCCGTATCAAGATCATTGAGGACATTTTTCGAGTTTTCTTTTTTTTTCAATTTTCCAATAATTTTTTCTTGTTCACTAAGATGGTGATCACAATGTAGTTGTTAAAAATGTGAGTACCATTCATGATTTTTTGGTGAGTTTTCAGAATTAGTTTCAGTATTAAGGTTGTCTGTCAAGTTCTTTAGTATTTTCCAGAAAAGGTTAAAATCATTTTGACTTGCTGTTTCTAGTTCATTCATCTTTTTGTTGTGAACTTCATTTTGTTTTGGTTATAGAGTTGCCTTATATGATTTCACGGCATCGTGGTAGTTTTTTCTAAGTTCGACATTTGTAGGATCTCTATGTTTTAAATTAGGGGCCTAGATAATTTCCTTAAATCATGTCGTTTGATTCTACAGTCTTTATCAAACCATTTCTTTTGAGCAACGTCAGTGATTTTTCTTCTTAGTTTGCTCTTTAATTTTCAAACTTTTTTTTGATGTTTCAAGTAAGATGTTTTGGAATTCGGTTACACATTGAAATAAATTCATTCAATTTCTTTTGCATTTCTTGTGATCTTAATGATTCTCTGAAGTTATGTTTAGAGTGGTCATCCCAAATGTATTGGTTTGGTAATTTAGTCATTTCAATATTACATCCAGGATTGGTGTCTGGTTTTTCTTTTAATTTGTCCGACCGATACCAACCCATGTAACGATTTGACTGTGGGAAGATAGGTATGTTAATTGGTGGTTTTACAACAAAATAATTAGTATTTCTAAATAATTCTTGATCACATATGATGTAATCAACTACATGCGCTTATACCATTGTTACCATGGAAAGTAGCTCTTCCGAAGGAAGCACCTTTTGTGTGTCCGTTTAAAATTTTCATGTCACAGTTTTTACATAGGTTAATTAACTGTTTAATTTGGTTATTAAATTGGTTGTCAAAATTGAATCTGTTTTTTGGTTGCAAGCAATTTTCACTAGTGTCGTTTATAAAATTGTTGCCATCTTTAGAGATAAAGTCTTCCAGTGTATTAGTTCTAGCATTAAAATTGCCAAGGATCATTATGTTTCCTTTTGAGGAAAATTGTGCAGTATCATTTTCTAATTCATCAAAAATTTCATTTTCAAAATAAACAGATTTTTCTGGCGGAATGTACACACCACATACAAATAGATCATTTTTGGCATTTAACACATCTTTTGATATTTTACACCAAAGAAAATTTTTTGACTTTTTAACAATTAAAGTAAATTTTTCGAATTTGGTTTTGGTTAGTAAAGTGATACCACCTGATTTGTGACATGCCCCATTGGTATGAGGCTTTGCAGTATCAGAGACAAAAGACCTGAAACCAGGAACATCTATA